TTGATATATCTATATTAAAGCGTTTTTGAGATATTAATTAAAAAACTTGGAAAATATTTTGAATATTTTTACCACAAAATTTCATAAGAAAAACTTGCAATTTATAAATAAAAATGTATATTAATTATGTATATTAAAAGTACTTACTTCATTAAAACTGCAAAAACGTGTTAAAATATTAATATACACTTTAATAATAATTGTGTAAAAAGAAAATGGAATCATATTTGTCCAGAAAATCCAAAATAAATCTGAAGTACCTTAAGTGGTTAAGATATCACAAGTAAGTACACTATAAAAAATGTAATGCTTTTGTTCATTGCTTTTCGAAGATCGTAACAAGAAACATTTGGATGTGGTAGCAGCACAAGAAGACCTGGCCATAGCCTCAACAACAAAAAAAAATCCAATCTGCACCACCATGATTGATAGCCAATTTACGGAAAAGGATTTCAACGATGTCTTTACTTTTGAATTTGAAAAGCCCAAATTTGGGCTTTTGGGAAAAGCAAAGAAGAAAGCAGCAACGTGCCAGGTGGAAAAGGAAGTGAATGGCAAGCTCAAACCACGTAGCTTCAAGGCAAGTGAATCAAGTGCCGTGAAAAGCTTCAACCTTTGGCGGCATGTAAAACGTAACCATCCTGAAAACTATGCGGCTGGGGTTACAAAAAAGGACCAGGAAGATGAGGCAAAACAAAGCTGAAACGGCTAACCGACATTCATCTGGCTCTTAGAGAACTCCTGGAGAAAAGATTTTTTGCAGAGCTTCATCTGAAAAGAATGCCAAAATTCAGCAAACAAAACTTGACTCATATTTGAAGTCCTCAAAGGTTACAGTCACCATGGATGCCAATACTTTCCGTGAAGGGCTGATAGACATGATTTGCTTCAGTTCAACACTGCTCGTTACCTTCAGGCTAAAGAACAAGGGATTGCAAAAAATTGCAGGTGAAATGGGTTGGCAGCTTGGCATTTCGATGGGGCACAATGCGGTTCGTCATTTAGTTGTCAGCACAGCTGAGTCTGGTCGCGAAGAGCTCAAGGAAGCTTTGGAGCAAAAATTGTACTACCTGAAAATGGGTGCGGCAACATGTGGAAACAGAAATTTCCTTGCAATCAATGCTCAGTACTACGAAGAAGGAAAAGATAAAGCTGTGGTAAAAACCTTGGACATAATCGACACTGAAGGGCATCACAATTCTTCCTACATGAAAAGTCAAGTAAAAGCTATCTTAGAAACATTTGGGATCAGTGAAATGCAAGTGCTGAGCATCTGCATTGACAGTGCAGCAAACATGATGTGTGCCATCAAAAATTTCAGCAAAGACAATGAAACCATTTCTACCTCTGAGAACAGGGATGTGGACAGAACTGAAGCTATTTTGCCGGATGAAGGAACTAAAGGAATGGATGAAATTGAACTCAACATGGATGCTGCTGCACAATGGGTTAATGATCTTAGCCTCATACTTCCAACATGGCTTCATGAGTACGACACAAAAGTCCAACTGATGAGGTGTGGTATTCACACTCTTCAGTTGGCAATCTGGGATGGACTGAACAAAGAACATGAGAAGAAATTTCTGGCAAAAATTTGACAAGTCGTCAAACTACAAACCCCAAGTATTCGAAGTGTTCTGCTTGATCTACATGGGGTAACTCAATCATTGGACACTGACTCGCTGGGGTTCAACATTTGCGATGATTGATCGGTTTCTTGTTTTTCAATCTTACTGTGAACAAGTGGCTGCCGTCGGAATAAGAGACCTCAAGTTAACAAAAGCTGAATGAGACCAAGTGAAGAACCTGCGAGACCTCTTGGCAAAGCCAAACCAAACAACAGTGAATCTTCAAGCTGTCAATGTAACCCCAGGAGTTTTAATGAAGGAATGGTGAAAACTGTCAAAATTCTTGCAAGAAAATGGTGGACAAATTGCAGAAGGAGTTCTATCCTCCATGCAGAAATGCGAAGAGAAGCTTTTTGACAATATTCATTTCCTTGATGGAGTTTACGTTGACTCACGGCATCGGATTCTTCTTACCTCAAGGGAAATACCAAAGGCAAAGGAAGGGTTCCTTGATATTGCTCGACGACTCGAAAAACAAAATTTATTGCTACATTTGAACTCGGCGAAAGAGGTTGATGAAAACAAAACACAACAAAAGGAGTCATCAACAATCGAATTTACGGTTTTGGAAAGTTCACATCCTTCAGAAATAGCAGGTTGTTCTCAAATTTCTGTCTCCACTCTGAACTTGTTCGAGCGTCCATCCCTGAGGCGTCTTCAACCATCACAGGGAAATGGAGATAATTCAAGCACCAATTCTTCAGAAGATGACGACTTCGAAAAGGAACTGGATAAACAAGAAAGACGCCGGCGAGTTTCTGCGATTCATAACTGTAATGAAGCATCATTCGAGAGAAACTTTTGGTAAGATTGTGAGGCGATGGAGTCTATTGATAAGCTAAAAGTAAGTCTGTTTTTGAGGCCATTCACAGCTACCTACACTGCATTCAGGCTGCCTGTAGAATTGCTTCGAGCATGCCAACAACTCAAGCTTGTGTAGAGCAACTGTTTTCAGCTTTAAAGTTAATTTTAAATGATCTGCGGCACGCTATGAAAGATGACTTGATTGCTGCAATAATTTTTTACAGATTGAATTATGAATGATTCTAGTTTGTATCATTGTTGATGACATTTAAATTGTTTTAAAACTCTGAATAAAAATGTTTTTTCAAAATTACAGGATACACTTTTTTATTTAGTTAAAAATTAATTTGAGTCAGAGCAGAGCTGCAGCAGTCACTATTGGTGCCGGAGCGGAGCTGGAGTGGAGGAATTCAAAAATTTGATTGCTCCAAATCCCTGGGAATAAGGGAAGGTGACGGGAACATTAGCCTTATTGCAAGTCTTCCTGCTGTGTGGATGGCATGGAAACTCAATTTAAGATACGTAGCTGGAGATGCATATCTTAATTCGACCTTCTGCTGTAGCGTAGACCAGGCCTAAGTGTACGTGTGGAATGTTTGTGATGAGATTTAATTGTAACATTTTTAAATGAGAAATTTAGTATTGTATTGATTTGAAAAATTAAAAATATCCAATTTAAATAAAAAAAATCTCAACCTGGAAACTCATGGTTGAGAAACCTAGAAATGTTTAAAATACACAGCATAAATCATGTAACTTTATCTTAGTCTCAGGAAGTACCAAAGACAGGGAAGCCTTATGTGGAAGAGAATGCATGAGAGTAGAAAATGATAAAGGTTGGGGACTCTTCCCTCAAAGATAGGAGTGGGAAATCTAAGCCTGAGGGCCAGATATGATCCCCGGCTTGCCCGGACCTGGACCCCAAGGCACAGGGCTCCCCCATAGCATCAGGGACATCATGCTGCTGCAGAGCACACAAAATTAACGAGCCACCATTTTTGCAGAAGAGGCTCTTGCACCAGAAGGAGCTGTGTACACTTCCCCTTCTTGCGCAAGAATAGTGACATTGCACAAGAGGGCTTTTCTTGTGCAAGAAGGGGAAGTGTAGACAGCTCCTTCTGGTGCAAGAGCCTCTTCTGCAAAAATGGTGGCTCATTAGGTATGCAAATGAGGCGTGGCGATATTCCACCCTTAGCCTCATTTGCATATTTCTCACACAAGAAGCTGAGAGTGTAGACATAGCCCTAGAGTCCCCAGCTAAACCTCTCCAACGCATCATCAGTGATCTACTACCCATCCTGGACAATGATCCCTCAACTCTCACAGACCTTGGGAGGCAGGCCAGTCCTCGCCTACAGACAGCCCACCAACCTGAAGCAAATTCTCACCAGCAATTATACACCGCACCACAGTAACCAACTCAGGAACCAATCCCTGCAACAAACCTCAGTGCCCACTCTGCCCACATATCTACAGCAACGACACCATCACAGGACCTAACCACATCAGCTACACCATCACGGGCTCATTCACCTGCACATCTATTAACGTAATATATGCCATCATGTGCCAGCAATGCTCCTCTGCCATATGCGAGTCCCCAGCTAAACCTCTCCAACGCATCATCAGTGATCTACTACCCATCCTGGACAATGATCCCTCAACTCTCACAGACCTTGGGAGGCAGGCCAGTCCTCGCCTACAGACAGCCCACCAACCTGAAGCAAATTCTCACCAGCAATTATACACCGCACCACAGTAACCAACTCAGGAACCAATCCCTGCAACAAACCTCAGTGCCCACTCTGCCCACATATCTACAGCAACGACACCATCACAGGACCTAACCACATCAGCTACACCATCACGGGCTCATTCACCTGCACATCTATTAACGTAATATATGCCATCATGTGCCAGCAATGCTCCTCTGCCATATGCATTGGCCAAACTGGACAGTCCCTACGTAAAAGAATAAACGGACACAAATCAGATATTAGGAATGGTAACATATAAAAACCTGAAGAACACTTCAATCTCCCTGGACACTGTGACATAGTGTGGGTACCTTGTGGTTGCTAGGCTTGGGCTGTGGGTGATCCCCACTGGCTGCTGTCTGTACCACGGCCCAGCCGAGTAGCTGACACAGACACATAGTAGCAGATTTAAAAGTATCCACCCTGCAACAAAAAACTTCAAAAACAGACTTCAAAGAAAAACTGCAGAGCTACAATTCATTTGCAAATTTGACACTATCAATTTAGGATTAAACAAAGACTGTGAATGGCTGGCCAACTACAAAAGCAGTTTCTCCTCTCTTGGTGTTCACACCTCCGCATCAGCTACTAGAAGTGGGTCACATCCCCCCTGACTGAATTGACCTCATTATGTCTGGCCTTCCTCTTGATTGGTACTCCTTTCTCTTCATGTGCCTGTATATTTATATTTACAGAGCGGTGCAGCATCTGGGACTGGGCGTGAGCCGGGAATCAGCCAACCACTGCTGTTCCTTTGCCTCTTTTGCCCCCTCCCCCAGATGCTCGAATTAATTTTGCAGTGTAGACATACCCTGAGCTCCTTCCCGCCCAGCACCAAGGGCCCAGGTGCAGTGAGCCGGGAAACAAGCGTGCACGTGTCGTTGCGCTGCCCCCAAGCACGTGCCCGGCTCCTTCCTCCTCTGGCGCGGAAGGCAGCCAACCACTGCTGTTCCTTTGCCTCTTTTGCCCCCTCCCCCAGATGCTCGAATTAATTTTGCAGTGTAGACATACCCTGAGCTCCTTCCCGCCCAGCACCAAGGGCCCAGGTGCAGTGAGCCGGGAAACAAGCGTGCACGTGTCGTTGCGCTGCCCCCAAGCACGTGCCCGGCTCCTTCCTCCTCTGGCGCGGAAGGCACCGTCCT